AGAGACTCAGTCATGAGTCGAACTCAAACCCTATCTAGGATCGAGTCGCGAATAAGGCTAAGAGCCGTGTATTGCAATACACATGTGACCACTGACCCCTACATCAGTGCCGCCATTTCTTGAAGGAGCCCCGAAAGAAATGCATATGCAACTTTTAAAAGGAATCATAAACCTGGACGTAAATCCTGATGATGTGTTGCCAAGAAGGCTGGCAAGCTAGTACATACCCAAGTGCTCAATTTATCGCCCCTGATTCATACCCAGCCAAATGCTCAATTTATCGCCCCTGATTCCGTGGAATTTTGACTCTGCTTTGCTTAAGCCTGGCCCTTGCTGGCTTCTGTAGATAATTCACCAGCCTTTATGGCATACTGTATCCACTAATTCTACCCAGTGCAGTGTTGCCCCAAGTTTTGTCTGTTTTCCATGGTTCCATGGGACCAATAACTCTCCCGGAATTCAAGTTTCACTGGGCTCTTCATGTGCCCTTTGAACTATCTTCACAGTGCACACCAAATTGAATTGTCAACATACCTGGCACTGGTATGTCATAGCTGGTTTGTACTCTAGCTAGTCTAGACAGAAAATTTGGCTTGCCGTTCAGCCACAGAGAAACGTGGGTTGGCGCTCCCGGAGGGACTCTTGTTTGAAGATTTGCGACTCGACTGACTCACTCGTCGCTCGACTGAGGTTCTCGACCACAGATTTTATGACTCATCCGAGTCACTCATTCATTTCCACGTTCCACGTGTTGACGTCCAGAGTACAGTCGTATCATGACATCATGACCTCTTCATTCGCTTTGCCACTCACTGTCAGAGCTTGCACTCTCTGAAAAGAAGATGAAAAGTATCGGAACACTTTGGAATAAGATAGATGGTGCGGTACGGTACAGTACTAGTACGGTACCGGTACGGCGAGTCAGAGATGGTTCGGAAGAGTTGGGGTTTCAAAAACGGCTCAAAAACAAGGTTGCCACCTCTTGGCAACACAATGGATATAGTCTAGCACATCCATTTCTGTACATATTCATCTATCTCGTGTTATGAACTATGGCACTTTCTTCTGCATATGCCTCTTCTAGCGCAAGGCACAGTGGCACAGTTCACTCGTCGCCAGGGCGTACGAGTACCGTATCTATAGTCTAGCCCTGCAAATCAAATGTAGCCACCCAAGTCGTTTCCCACTCCCAAAGAACCAGATTGCTGCGCTATCCACTGTTACCTAAGGCTGCCCATGACCATCGTTCTGCTCATTCTGCCTGCGTTGTCTTTCTTGCTCCTGTAGAAGGAGCCACAGTTCAGTTGTCGACAAACCTGAGCCTGGCTGTTGCGGTAAGCCAACCTGCCGAGACAAACTAGCTTGCTGCTGTTGTTGTTGCTGCTGATGATGATGATGCTGCTGTTGTTGATGTTGCTGTTGCTGTTGGGAACGAAGCAGTTCAAATCGGTGCGACCACTGTGTCCCCAACTGGCTGGGGAACTGTCCTGACAACTGTGCGGAGGAAAGAAGTGAAGAATGAAGAACAGCGTTCTCGGGCTGGTTTGGTCGGCGGATGGCTGTGTAGCCTGATGTGTTCCCGCCACCAAGCAATATTCTTGTGGCTGCGGCGTCCAAACTTGAAGAAGACGACAACGCCGCTGCGCTGTCCAATACGGCTGCCGCTGCGGCTAGTGATGACTCGTCTCTTTGAGAGGATTGAACTGACAGTCGGCGCGAATCAATAGCAGCCGCAGCAGCAGCCGCTAGCGATGACTCTTCCCTTTGGCTTGGTGGGGACGTGGAGATGCGCCGATGCCCCGCTGCTGATAAGGGCAATCCTGTTCCATACAAAAGAGCATTGCGAATGTCTCTGTCAGAGGCAGTGGAGGAAGAAGCATTGGGCCCTTGCCCCCCAGTTGAGAGACTTGCGCGAGGCAAGCTGGAAAGACTGCGAAGGCTGGGAAGGTCGTGTTGGTGTTGGAGTGTCGCCGCTCCTTGAAGTGACGGGATTGTTCTCGGAAGCCCCATGAGTAGCAGTCGATCTCGTAGTTGGCTGTCAATGGCGGGAGCTAGTCGATCTAGTAGTTGGTTGTCGGAGCTGGAAGCCAGGCTATTCAATGCAGCATTTTGTGTAGCCAGGTGGTCCGCAGCGAGGGCAAGTTGCTGTCTTTGTTGGTGCAGCTGTAATTGTTGGCGATGCTGATGATCTTGTTGTTGCTGTGCTCCGGCCATTGTCTGCAAAAGAGCCGTGTGCTGGGCACTCTGCAATGCTTGCATGGCCACAAGAGACTGATTATCTTGTGACTCTGCCCGTCCCAAAGCTGCATGCTGCGGCCCACCAAGTATTCCTGTCGAGGGAACGAGACCCTGCAATTGCTGGCTGGGCCTGCGGCTATCAACCTTCTGACCAAATTTCATACTTTTCATCAAGTTTGGGTCACTGCGTTTGAAGAGCGGATGTTTATAAGCCGCCCCATTGGGAGGAAGTCCCTGGCCAGGTACTCTTCGAAACCCCCTTTGGTTGACAATTGGAAGCGCAGTGAAGAAGTGGTGAGCATCGGCAAGCTAGCTAGTACAGTGTAGTGTGGTCGTCAAAGGACACAGCAATAAGCACGAGTACCGACTTACCATCTGTTGAGCTTGCGAATAAAGCTCTCAAACTTGATCTTGGTGGGGAAGAGCTTGTTCAGTACCTTGTCCGTGAACAATTTGGGTTCAAATCCAAAGGAAACTCCGTCTTTTTGCCACCAGAGAGCCTTTGGCTGTATCTCGTGCTGGAGAAGATGCATCAGTCTCTCTGGAAACGTTAGTCGATCGTCAAGCTTCTCGTCGTCGTCGTCCTTCTCGTCTTCTCTGCTCGGCACTTTTGCTACTTCAAGGGTCCCGCTCAAATGCAATGGCTCCGTATGCAGGGTCTCGGAAGGTGCTGCCTTCCTATTGCCCCCTTCAGATTTCAAGGAGAGGTCGCCTTGGAAACAAGAAGGTGGTAGGGTCGGTTGCTGACTGTGGGCCCGAGCCTTCTTGGCAGCAACCTCGTTCTCGTTGGCTAGCAAAGACCGTTTCTTGGCATGGCGTGGGGGATCTGATGGGTGCAATAGAGGGACGGAGTGCAAAGAGGGAAGGAGTTAGAAGTTTTCAAATGCAAAGTTGATGATAACTGAATGTCGCCAACCAATTCTCTCTTTCTTTATCAGCACCAGCAAGTATCATACGGCGAAAGAGGGTATCCTCATCCAATGCACTTGCCTTGTTCAGCTACGTTCATGACACCAGAAGGAGGAGCAGCTTTGGCTGCGGCTTTCTTTTTGGCAGCAGGCTTGGCTGCCTGTTTCTTTTCCTTTGAATCCTCTCTATCCTCAATAGGCGTCTTTGTCATGTCGTCAGCACAAGTACCTTGGTAAGCAAGCAGGATGTGCCTCCAACACCTTGCTTTTTTGCTCCCTGAGATGGGAGATAGGACCGCTTACTAGCTAGTATAGAAGACCAACTGATTGCCAGCAGCTATTTTATGACGCAAATACAAATGCTGGCTGCCTGTTCCAGATTACAACTGCACTCCAAAAACTCGGATGGGCAGAAACGCAGAAACATCAATACCTCTTCGTAACGATGTGGTGGCGGATGGAGGGCCTCAATCGTTGGCGGTTGGCGGTCTTTCGAGGGGTTTGGAGCTCTGTGCATCCTTTTTCGCTATCTTCAAGCTGCCCCTCCTGTAACACAGTCTGTGGATGCCCTCTACAGCTCCTCCACTGATGAGGGAACCACTGGACCTCATGGGGTCCGTGCGGAACTTAGGGCCGTCAATCACCGGATCCCAGACCTTATCGAAGCATTGTTCGTGATACTCGACAACAAGAACCCCGAAAGGAAAGAGGAGACAGTCTTTCTTGGCTGATGATTTCAAACACACTTACTGGATGCCTTTTTGCATGCTTCCGCCATAATGCATAAATCGATAAAAAAGAAAGTGCCTTCACGGAGGAGGAAGTTTTAAAGCTCTCGAAGCAGTTGTCGAAGTGTGGAAGAAAGACGACATTGTGATATTTTGATCAAGACATTTACTTAAATGGGAACCGGGAATGACAGGAGATTAAAAAGGATGACTCGTCACTCCGATTAGAAAAAATGAAAACGTGCAATTCAAAATTCATGAGCAATTTGTGTTCTTGTAAAACTAAAATTTTTAAGCCTTTTGCTTTATTTATGGTTTATTGCTATATCTTCAAAATAAATGCGTACTTTCAGCATCCAACAGCTTATTTTGTCGTGGCACTTTTCACGATTAGTGAGGGAACTGGAGAGCAGGTCGTTTTGAAAGAGAGTCTTATGGGTCCCTGCCCTGACGTTGTAGGAAAGACTTTGGTTGGTGGTAGGTTGGTACTATAATATACCGTATGACATTCGGCAATTGAAGTTTGTGATCGTGTTTTGAAAATGGGGGGTATTCGCGGGTCTATGTTACTGCCTTTCCGTACAAAGAGTGTGTGCTCTTCGTTGTACAGCAGCTCAGACAAAGACCCTTTAACCATCTCTACTAATTAATAGCTAGTCGAGTAGACGATGTCATAACTGGTTCCAAGGCGGCCTCATTGAACATCAAAACCATTTTTCGGTCTCAATGAGAAGAGCACATACGCAATTTTGCATCTCTTGCTTGACCCATTGACACATTTTAATTTGGCAACTGTCAGGTGATGCAAGGGCACATGCAAGAGCTCTCCCCTGAGTGCGAAAATGAAGAAGGATTGGAAAAGCTTCTTGGTTTAGCTTATTTGGTTTTCAACGGAGCTTCCTTCTGCTCAGGCGTCATTGCACAGTTACCCTCAGTTTCTCAGTTTCTTGCAATTTAAAATTAATTGTTCCAATGAGTCATTCGGCAGCTGTCATGGTGAGCTCATGGCTGGTGATGGAAACTACAATGGCACGGGCACGTTCTCGAACGTTGTCTCCCCTGCAAGGATTGGAGCTGTAAAAGAGCCTTTAAAGTGGCCTTTGAGCCTTCTTTGTGGAGTTTGGAGGTTTACCTTTAGCTTCCCAATGAGCTTCCTTTTGCTGAGGCTTGTGGCCAAGAGTCTTGGCACGTGCGTCACCTTAGTTAGGCAATCTAAGTTACAGCCAGTGCTGAGGTAGTGCATGGTTCCGGAATCTCTGTGCATGCAGGTCGTGGCTCTCGTGCCCACTCCCACCTGTCCTCGGAAGCAGCCAAGGTATCGAACCCCGTAAGTGGGTGCAGGTCCAAAAGTAGCAGCAACAGCAGCAGCAGCTCTAGCCAGACAACCTAACAGATGCAGTTGCCAAACTGAAATGCTTTGCAGAGCTGTAAGAGACACCCACCCAAGCAAGCTTGACCAGCAATGAACTCCTTCCTAGTAGAAAAGATTTTTCAGACAATACTACTCCGGTACCGGTAGCGGTACTTCTACTGAGAATCTACAATCTGGCTGCTGCAGCCTACTGGGATGCTGTGATGCTGTGATACCGGTGTGCGAAGAGGTGCCCGTGTCGCCCTTGGATTCTTTCCACCCTCTCCATGTAAAAGGCCTACCGTAAGAAGCGGTACAGAAGATTGATTCCGGAACATGGAAGACGCCCACAGGATAGGCTTGCAGTTGTATCGTACCGGTACCTACTAGACTACTAGAGTAGCTAGTACTACCTTGGTTGGAGCTCCACGACAATATCTTACTCTTGGATACCCCTTTGTGGCCATCGACTGATTTAAATCAATACAGGTATACAAGTATAAGCCGGCAGGCGGTGAGTTCATTTGGGCGCGAATTTAATAAGGTTATGTATCGAAATATTCGTCCGTGGTAAACTATACCCACTACTATTCGAGACTGGATGCATACCCCAGACCCAAAGAGATTCCAGCACCTGCATGTGGACACACTCCATGGCGGAAGGATTCTACGTAGGTTTTGAGGCCATCTCCCATTTCAATTCCTTTCTGGGCCAGGATTTCCAGGACAAGATCAGGATCGTGACAACGTTGAGCACCGGAACAGATTTCTTGCCCACGAATAAAGATATCGTAGGAGTTCGAGAACCTCGAATCTTCAGGATCAGGCATCGTGTAGAACGGGCGGATGGATGATGGGTATTTGTCCAACATGAAGAAGTCTGTTCCGTACTTTTCCTTCACTGCTGCACCAAGTGCCAACTCCTGTGGAATGAAAAGCACGAATGGATCGCGTAAGTTATGACGGAGGACAGGAAGACGAGTGATTTCTCGATTCTCCGTTAGCCTATACGCACCATGGCACCCGTCAGGTCGCTCATACCATCACCCGTATCGAATCCTGCATCTTCTAGCATTGCAATTCCCTCTGGCCAATGCAAAACGCATGGCTCTTCTGTAAAAGTGACAGGTTCGGATGCGTATTGCTCTCTGATAACAGCCAATTCCTTTGCCCAACGAGACTCCAAGCCATTGAAGATGTGTTTGAACATGGTATGAATCACTTCCAAAGTTTCCATGTAATGATCGTTAATAGCCATTTCCAAGTCTAGCCCTGTGAATTCACAGAGGTGCCTGGTATGGTTGAGCAGAGATTAAGAACAGCGACCGCGAGTGAGATGATGGTGGGTTCAGGAGGAAACGTGGGCCAATCCCTTGCTATAGCCTGCACGGACCTTCTCGTGTTAGAGTTTTCAGCTCGAAAGACTGGAGCCACTTCAAAGACTCTAGTGAGATCTGACGAGATTGCCATCTGCTTGTACAACTGTGGTGACTGTGCCAGGCAGGCTTCGGACCCAAAGTAGTCAGTCGTGAAGACTCCTGCACCGGACTCACTCTCTCCAGCGATCAATTTGGGTGTATGGATTTCACAGAATCCCTGCGCATATAGCGATTCTCGGAATAGCTGACAAATGGCAGATTGAATACGCATAATCGCATTGTTGGCGGGAGCTCTTAAGTCCATCCATCGATTGTCGAGTCTCAATTCTTGTCCGAGACGAGGAAAGGGTCTGTCGGTACCCTGTGATGCATCGACTTCCTCTTCGCTCCTGGCAGCATCTTCTACCAAGAATGGCAGCATGGCGTCTGCCTTGGATACAGCATATATTCTTCCAATCGCAAGTTCGACGTCTTGAATGGAACACGACTTTACCTGGGCTTCGACAAGTGTCCCTTCGATATCAATTATACTTTCAACAGTCAATGATTTGAGATACTTTAGCATCTTTTTGGGTGCCTCTGGATTCTCCTTATCCTTGAAAAAAGTAGCTTGTACAGTATGGAAGCTGTCCTGTCGGAGTACCAAAAAGCAAGATCCACCCTTGACCCGGATGGAATGCAACCGTCCACGAAGCCAAAGTGTTTCGCCTGGTTTGTGCACATTCCCAAGATCAGCTACATTGCAAAAGTCTCGTCCTGTACGGCTTCTCGACATGATCCTGGCAAAATCACCCATGGTCTGATAATTGTCTTGTTCGCCATAGTCTAGGTATGTGACTTCTTCAATGCGTTCGGCAGCCTCCTTGGCTGCCGCTGCTGCAGCCTTTTTAGCTTTCTTTTCGGCCTTTAGACGTTCCTTCTCGGCTCTGTTAAAATCCGAAGGAAGATAATTGGTTAGCGAAAAGACAAACAGACAACAAATATTCCTACCCTCATCTCCTCACTTTCGGGCCTCCCTTGCTGCCTTGATGGCATCTTTTTCTTCCTGAGTTTTTTCTACAACCTCGCCATCGGCTGCCATCCATCTCTTTTGCTGAAGGTGCTGAACGTAACGGAGTGATTTTGGAGGGATCGTCAAAGGACGCGCCGAAAAAGCCAGAGCTGTCCGAAAGAACATTAAGTTCTTGCTAGTCGCACCGAACATAACGGCCACCAACAAAAAGGTCGTCGTCCTTGGCGCAAAGGAGATCATCAGGGTTTGCGAAAGGTCCGGTCGAAATCAGCAATATCCTTCCGTTGACATATGTTGCTCAAAGGAAGCAGAATTGATAGATTACCGAAGGAAAGCTTGGTCAAGGATCGAATGATTGTGCCATGTGCCGCTGGTGCCACCATCATCTTTCTTCTGCCTCACATTTTCGTTTCAAAAACGTCAGTCTGTTGTCGGAGGGTTAGAGATAAACGAAGAGTGGGTTTGCAAACTTTTTAAAGTTGACAGGATATCCACGGTACTACAGTAGTACCTGGTACCGTTGGAGACCAGCAAGCCAGGACGGTACCCATAGGGAGTTTATCGGATCCAAACAGTACATTGCAGCCGGTCTAGCGTCCTTTGCATTCTATGCTTAACTTTTAAAAAGTCTATTCTTCCGACAGCATCTTGGAACGACCTTTCACTTCGTACCGGCCGTATTTTTTCCACTTTTCCTTCTTCACATGCTCCTTTGGTTCCGGTACTCGGTGCCATAGGTTGAAATCAGGCAAGACTCTGGGGAATCCAGCACCAGCGCTACTTGGACCATCGCCTTCCTCTTCAAACTGGCCATCGCTCTTTCCGTCCGTCCCAACACCACCACAGACATGCACAGTCCCGTTCAGGGCAACAATGAGACTATGGACGTAGCCACAGTCGCAGTCCACTGCTTTCAAATTGTCTCCATTGTCGTCGTGGATTGTGACTCGTCTGGGTATGTTGACGTAGCTGTTGGCAGCACCAAGTCCAATTCTGCCACCTTTCATCGAACCCCAGCTGTAAACTTGGCCAGTGGTGCTCACCGCCATGCTGATGTCTACCCCTGCCGAGAGCTTCATGATGCGAACCTTTTCGTTGACTGAAGGAAGCACACAAACGAAAGCAATTTGTTGGCCAATGCGGTATGCAACGCCACCACAACCATTCAAAGTCATACAAGTTCACCCCTTACCAAACTCTGATACGATCACTGGGTACATTTGAGAGTCATTGTCGCCCACACCTAGGCACCCACTTCGTCCAGCTCCACAGGCGTAGACTGCTCCATTTTCGTCTAGGAAAAGGCTTTCGAAGAATAGTAATGAGTTCGTCAGAACAAGAGATAATCGCAAGCTGCAACTCCGGCGGAAGCAGTTCCCTGTCTCTTGCTATCATTCTCACCTATGACGATGGCCTGCGCTCGCGCCAATGGCCTTGGTCAGCTGCAAAGACTCCACCACCATTGGAATGCACTGGTTGCTAGAATCGTCAAGGGATAGATTGCAGAGCAGGTCTAAATGGGCACGCAGTTGCTCGGCTGCGACTTGTTGCTCGTTGTCTTGAGCGGCGGCACCATGACCCATGGCAACCGGCACGGCAGCTTCTTCGCCGCCCAAAGCCACTACTGCAGCATCGGCATCGTATTCAAACGGCGTGAACGACCTGCCCAAGGCACCAAAGTGGCCCAAGCCCCAAGACCAGATTTCTCCATCCTCAGTCACAGCAAGGGTATGGCGACTTCCACAACTGACGGAGAGAACGCATTCATCCTCCAAGCCACCTTGTTCTACGTGTTTGGGAGCAACTGCTGGTCTCTTGTCACCCAAGCCAAGCTGGCCACAAAAGCCGTCGCCCCAAGTGTAAACGTCTCCATCAACCGTCACTGCGGCGCTATGCAGTTCACCTGCAGCTACGCAAATGCACTGTTTATGTGAGAGTGCCTCGATATAAGTTGGTCTGAGAATATCCGGAAGCTGCTTGGCAGCTGAATATCCGTGCCCTAGAGCACCATACTGGCCGGTGCCGAAGGATAAAACCTTATTGTTGGAGGTGAGACGATGAGTGAGGTTGCATTGCCACCACGGTGATGCAAGTGATCCGAGGACTTTGCTTGTGCTCTTACCTTGCCGTTAGACGTGAGAAGAAGAGAGTGGGCAACACGAACCAGCCCACCACCTGCTGCCACTTGCACTATCCGGATTCCATATCCAATTCCACCAACGATGAGCCTTGGTTCCTGCTCGTCCTCTCTCTTTCCGTGTCCGCATTGGCCTCTCTTTCCTGGTATCGTGTAGGGAAGTGGGACAAAAGATGAGCACAACCACTTAGCCAACCAACAAACCTCCACTCTTGCATCTCAATGCATTGGTTCTATCTTACCGACGCCCCAAGATGCTACCGGTATGGTACGATGCAGATAAGGCAATCATATTGAGTAATGGTTCGAAACGCCAAGAAGAAAACATCACAAAGCAGCTTGATTGATTCAATCATTCCTCACCGACACCGGATCCTCCTGCCCCGCATTTCTGGCCATCACCTCCAGCTCTGCAAAGAGAATGTTCTGGGGATGCGGAAACAAATCGTCCGCTGACAAAGCGTGGAGCCAAAGCAGGAGTCTTTTCTCCCTCTGCTCTGAATCCAAGAGGAACATGACCGTGCACAGCTTCATCCAGAAACCGAGCGTAAGCCACAAATTCGTCTGCATTTTTCCTTTTAGCATTCTTTCCTTTTCGTTTGACAATCATCCGTCCAGTTTCCCCGCCTCCTAGTGATTGATCAATCATCACTCTTGAGAAAGGAAACGCAAATTAGTCGAGCGATACAGCAATCTCCCTCCAACCACAAGTTTCTTCACGCACCTTGCTTCATCTATGTTATTGCACACGCTTATTTCTTTCAAGGGTCCCACCGGCGAATGTCGAAGTCTCGATAGGAGGAATGAAATGCGCACGTCATGCAGGGCTTCGTTCATGTGCCGGCAGGTCATTGACACTTTCCCCAGATCGCGTGCAGCTAGCGAGCAAAGAACCTGTTTAAGGGCATCTTCGGGTAGTGCCAGTAACGGCGATGGTCCGGATGCACCGGTGCTCTCGGACGATTTTTTCTTGGCATCAGTGCCAGAGCCCTTGGATTTGGAAGCCTTGGCCTCCTGCTCTTTAAGTTTTTGGCGCTCTTCCTTTCGTTTCAGGTACTCGGCCTTGCGGCGTTGCTTTTCTTCCTCGCTTCTTGGTGCCATTTTCCTATCTTCTGCTTCAGCTTATCGGTTGTGTTGGTTGAACGACTCGACTATGCCGTAGACTCGACTCGACTCGACTCGAACTTACCAGCCAGTTCTGAGATCAGGGGCCGTGATGAACAAGGAGTGGATGATGGATGGCTCGGGCATGTTGGTGGGGTTTTTGAGTTTGCGTTTGCAGCATGGCATGCATTGAGCTAGGTGTTCGGTGTTCGGTGATCTGATGACGTGTTCTGTTGAGATTTAACATTACCATTGCTAATAAAGCTTCTAATACCAATAAACCCTATATTACTAGTACTGTAATAGACTACTAGTACTGTAGCTTACAGCCTACATTACCTCGGCAGTCTATCTGCCTGAGCCCTCACCCCCTTTTTTGGTATTTCCTGTTTCCTGTTTCCTGCTTCCTGCTTCCTGTTTCCTGTTCCGGTGAAGCCAAAATATAGGGATAGAGATAGGCACAAGCCAACTCTACAAATTTAGGGGTAGGAATAAATCATGATTATTCAAAGTTAGTGCACTCAACACAATAAGCCAGCAGAAGCTACAAAAGTTACAGGTACGTACGGGAGTGACAGCTGTAAAATTATGGTTAGCGGGCGACAACACACGACGAAGTCGGGTGTTGTCGCCAGGGCTAGCATAAATTAAAAAGAAGGTTATAATGAAGGAATGATACCGGGCGGCAACACACGACGAAGTCGGGTGTTGTCGCCAGGGCGACCTTGAAAGAAGGGTGCAATCTCAAACATGTCATCATTTTTCTATCTGTCTTTCTGCCGAGGTATCGCAGCTCCCGCTGACTTAAATTAATTGCACTTATCACGGATCTTTTTTATCAATTTGTTTGATTTATTTTGATTATTTTTACGGAATCCCAAAGTCCATCCCATCGTTCAGCAGCCAGCCAGTTGAAGACGGAAGAGATACCGGTACCGGTACCGGTAGCTTGGCGTGTGTAAGGAAGGCATACCAATTTATGAATCGAATCGAATCTGCTACATCTTGAGCTTTATTTGAAGCGAGCAGAAGCAAACTGATGAATGCGACGATATCTTTTCGTCGAGAAAGGTTTTTTTTTTCCGTCGTCGTGGGTTTGGCCTGGTTCCATTAGAAGCCCCTTCTCCATGGTCTGATGCCAAAAAGACAAGAGTGAATCTGTGGGGAGACGAGTAGTCAAGGAAAACAGCAGGATACAAGACTCTTGTGTTGTCCGTCGGAATTACTTTGAAGAAAATCGTCTAACTGTGGACTCAAAAAGTCGGTAGAATGCAAGCTGATATCAAAACTCCCGTGAATTCCCAGATGAATCGCCCCTTGTGTTCCATATTGAGCTGTGTCATTAATCAGGTGATGGTTCCAGCGACGCCACTAGAGCCAAAAGAGTTTCATGAATCTGTCGGAAGCAATGACAGTGCTAGCGAAATAGCCAAGCCCCCTAATATTCGAGTGCCTGTGTTGAGGGTCTTTGGACCGATCATCAGAGGCGATGCGCCATCGGGTGCAGATCCTGTACAATCTGCTTGTCTGTACATACATGGAGCATTCCCTTACATGCTTGCAAGACCTGTCACAGCGGGGCCCGACGGGTCATTGCATCACTCCTCTCATCTAATGAGATCAGGCAATCAATGTGAAAACCAACCAACTCCTCCTCTCACTAGCTCGGGACATGTTGATTGGGACGATCCTGAGGCAATCAAAGGCATTGCAAGTTCCATCGAACAGACTTTGGAGTCTGCTCTGCAGGCCACGGTAATGAGCCCATCCAAGAACAATGACGATGGTGCCGCAGAGACAAAGGCCAAGGAAACTTCAGCAGGGCCTGCCAAGTTCATTAGAAGCGTGACAGTGGTCTTGGGACGTGGGTTCTATACCTTTTGCCCGGGGCCTGCTGCTCCCTTTTTGCGAGTGGAGTACTACGACCCCAAAATGAAATACAAGGTCAAGCTGTACTTGGAGAGGGGGCTTGAACTCCCCCGCATGTATCACCCAGACCCACAACAATATGATGCAGTGGGTGACTTGCCTGCTGCCGACAGTAGTCAGTTGGGAATGGACCCTTTGTCATTTCATTGCTATGAAGCACACATACCGTACACGATGCAATTCTTCAAAGATTGGAACTTGGCAGGTAAGTTATGTCGGTTTGCTGTGGCATACATGCGTTTGCCAGCACTCACAAAAGCACTCTTTGTCTTTGATTGGAACAGGGGCCTCGTACATTCATGTCTCAAAAGGCAAATTTCGACGTACGCTCCCCTCGGCTGTTCGCCGTCGTTGGGAGAAGGATGGTGACGACGGCGGAACTTCTGCCGACAGGCTGGCATTCCTCAGTTTCAACACGCCGAAGGACTCCATCTGGAACCAGGAAAGCAACCAAGGAGATGATGCCAGTTCCACTGTGGAAAAGACTACAGCGTCCGAGAGACGCGACTCGGGCATAGACAAACAGTCGACCGTGACAACCAGCATGAAAACCAAATCACTCTCTTTGTCTCAACAACAGCTGAAGCAGTACTGGGCAACCAAAGAAACCAGTTGCGACGTTGAAATTGACATTGCATGTGACGACATCATGAATATCCAGTCAGTTATCACGGTTCTTCCAACCGATGAAGTCGAAAGTCAAAACATTCACTGGAGAGCGGTACCCAGTCTGAGAGAGATATGGCAAGAGGAAAGGAGAAGAATGGCCAAGCTTTTGGAACCTCAGCACGACTTTCTCAGCCGCCCGTCTGCTGCCGAGGAGGAAAAGAAGAAGAAGGAACAGAGCCAGCCTCCTTTCACTCTAAGTGTCAAGAAAGGTGCGTCTACTCCAGGTTCCAGGCTGGCCGCAAAAGGAATGCGACGCCTGCTTAGAGTCACTGAGGGTCTAGAGAGTGCTTTTATGCGAGCATTGAAGCAAATCGTGCAGCGACACTCTGCAGCAATATCGCAAGTAGATGGGTTGCTAAAGTCTTCGCCGGCCACACGGAGTTCACCAGGGACACCGCACTCCACTAACAGTTCTTCACAGCTGACGCCGACAATCAACGATGCGCTGGGGGCGATGGGGGCCTTGGCAGGTCAGTTTGGAAGTGCTGACCCGAACGAGCCGAACGAGGAGTCTTCCCAGTCGGATGCTTCCGGTGCCACCGTCGATGATGAAGAAAGCACCGAGGAGCTAGCTCGCGATTCTGATCCAAGCAAAGACGGTAGCTTCACCCAGCTTTCCCAGAGTTGCTACACTCTACTTCGTGCTCCCGGGACTCCCATCACTGAAGAAGCTTGCTTCAACCTGAGCCAGAGACTTGAGCGTGGCGACGCCATCGTAGATGGTCCGTTCAATAGCACAAAGGACTTTGTTGACCCTCAGACCCTGGCGCCGCGGGAAGACGACGATGACGAAGACGTCTTTCTGGACGAAGAGGGCAGAGAGCTGGATGAAGCCGGCGTAGAACGTGAATTAACCCTCCTTGCCACTCAAATGCACTGGCATAAGGACAATCCTGAGCTGGAACAATCCGCAGTGGAGGGCTCTGAATGGGAGAAAGCTTCAGAATATTCGCCCTTGGATTCCACATCTCACGACGTTTCAAGCTCCAACAGCTCTGCATCCAGTATAGCTTCTGGGGGGAGTTTGGATGGTTCCTCTGTTGAACGTGGAAGAAAAGCCAACGGACAAAACACCTCTGCATCCTCGGCAGTGTCCAAGCCACCTTCTCGGGGCGCATTCCAATCGGGTGTGTATCTTCATTCATTGCCAGAAAGTCGATCAACTGCGTCTTGGCTGGAACACGCGAACGCATACGAAACGTCTCGAAATGCAGCAAGCGTACAATCAAACTGGATTCCATCCACAGCTACAACAAACAGGTTTTACATTCAGCCGACGAAGCCACCGCCTCGCAGGGACGAAGTTATGCATTGGTGTCGACAAGAAGCAAAACGGACGGTGTCAGAGGGAGCAAAGCCCGACGCAAAGAAAATAAAAATGTCCAACTCAAGGAAACTAAGAGAAGTCGTATCTGCAACCCATCAAGTTGACGACAACACTGGTAAAGTTATTCTGGCTAAGCCTCATTCGGAAGGCTCCGAAGTAGCGAACTATGAGCAAGTGGAGGCAGTGAGCTTTGTGCAAAGTCAGACACAAGCTTCTGCAATGACACAAGAAGAAGGAGAGCAGCGAAAGCTTCGGCACGAACCGAAGCAAGAGGGGGGTTCAAAAAAACCATGGCTCACGGCGGCCTCAGCGATGGACTCGCAATCATTGGCAAGGGTAGCCGCAGATCTTTCCAACGTATCGCAAGTCAAACAAACGGCCGATCCGGATCAAAAGGCATTGCAGGGAATGCAGAATCAGGGTGGTAAACTGGTTGTGGAAGGTGGTGGCCAGCTGAAGGCTAAAACACGCCCTAGTCAGTCTGTTGCCAAGCAGCATCAGGATGATGCCCTTTCAGAGGGTACTGGTTTTGATGATCGCTACTTACCATTGCCTCTGACAATGATGTCCATCGAGATTCATTGTCAATGCAGAAGGGGACGAGCCAGTGGCCGTTCCACACATGAAATAGCAATGACGCCTGACCCTGACAGGGACAAGATATTTGTGATTGCATATGCATTTGCTAGGGATCCAGGGGGTGGGGGTGCACTGGAAATCCTAGAACGAGGGTGTCTGTATGTTCCCATCACTGTGGAAGGCCAAATCCATGAAACCTTGTCGGACATTCAAATGAAGTCGAGCATGCCACGACAAATCCTAGGAGTTACGGCGCCGCTGACAATACAGCAAGTCAAGGACGAGAAGCAACTGCTCCTGAGACTAGCAAGTGTCGTTCGATGGAAAGACCCAGACATGCTGCTGAGCTGGGACACTCAGGGAGCGGGGTTGGGGTACATTATTGAGCGTGGGGCTAAGTTGGGGGACCAGGGTGTTGCTTCAGATAAACTTGATATGGCCAGACTGTTGGGTCGTATCCCAACAGTTAGCGTTTATGACAAAGCCAAACGAGGCACCGGTGAAGAGCTTTGGGGGACGTCAGGAGGTCAGCAGGATTCGGGCAAAGAAAGCAAGCCAGATCCAGCTTCTTGGGTAGGCTCTGGATTGGGTGCTGATTGGGACGAGAGCGTCGGTGCAGGAAAGATCGCATCCAGTATTGTTGGGCGCTTGGTGTATGCGGGTTGGAAGATCATCGCCGAGGAAGTCAAACACCCCAACTATTCGTCGCTCTGCGCGATGGTGTCTGCGGTGCTCTCCAAGCGCATCCCTTTCCATGATGAAGTCAATCTGACCAACTGGTATGCTTGCCTGAATGGCCGCGAAAGGTAAGTTTTGAAACACTTTGGGGCTGGACCAAATGGCAGGAGGGCTCACGAGTGTCTTCACCGCCTCGTGACAAAAGATGGAGAGTGCTAAATCATAGATTGGCGCAGTGCACAGCAACTGTATTGCTCTTCGATGCCCTTGACATTGTTGGACGGGCTGGGGAGGCGGCGAGATTGAGTGGTGTCGAGTTCTCGCAGAGTTTCCCTGGCATCAGAGGTAGTCAATACAAGGTTGAGGTGAGTACACTGCAGTCCAACAGTCTGCCTCGATCTTAATCATTGGATTTATCTAAGTCCTTGAATGTTTCTTGAGTAGGGTGTTTTGCTCCGGGCACTGCAAAGTCTTGACTCGGAGGAAAGAGGATGCAAACTGGGACAGCAAACTTTCCAGGGGGGAGGGACATCGTCCACAAGTCCAAGTGATGAAAGCAAATCACAAGCTACGAGCCCATGGAAAAAGCGGAGGAGTCGACCAAAGGAAGAAGAGAAACCTCCTCGTCACGGCTACTTTTTCTTCTCTCCGTCTCTACAGGACACGGAAAAGCAAGAGGCTTTGGAGGTCCAGGCGTTGAACCTGGAGCCCCAGTCGGGGCATTACTCCGACCCCGTTGTCGTGTGTGATTTCACGGCTCTTTATCCATCGCTCGTAATTGCATATAACTTATGCTACTCGACCTGTGTCGGGAAGCTCAAGTACCACACGACAAGGCCTGAGATGCTTCAGGAGGGAAAGACTACTGGTCGCATTGGACCTTTCCTCTACTCGGAAAGCAGAACGGCTACTGTGCTAAAACACCATCTCAAAGCAATCAACGAGACAGAAGAAGGGGGAAAAGATTGCTTTAGCTCCAAAGATCGAGTCTATATTTCTCCTACGAGCACTCTGTATGTATCGGAATCGGTTGTCAAAGGAGTGCTACCACAGGTGTTGGACGAGCTTCTCAGTACGAGAGCCATGTTGAAGAAGGCTTCCAAGGAATACAAGAAACGAGTACAGGGCCTGTCTCCATCCATCCTGAGACAGCTCGAGGCCCGTCAGCTGGCCTTAAAATATGTGGCCAATGTCACGTATGGCTATACTTCGGCCACATTCTCAGGAAGATGCGCTATGCCAGTGCTAGCCGATACTATTGTTGAGTGCGGTCGCCGTACGCTCACGAATGCTATGAGACTAGCCAACTCATGGGGAAAGGAGCCCGGAGGAAGATGGGAGGGAGCCAAGGTGCTCTATGGCGATACGGACTCTGTTTTTGTAAAGCTACCGGGGCGCTCGGTCGAGGAGGCATTCGACTTCGGCGAAGTATTTTGTCGTGAAGTCACAGCGAGCAACCCCCCTCCTGTTCAGCTAAAACTAGAGAAGGTGTATCTCGGATCAATCTTGCAAACCAAGAAGAAGTACTGTGGTATGGTATTCGAATCAAAAGACAGCAAGAACCCCTATTTTGAGGCAAAGGGTCTGGAAACGGTGAGAAGGGACCAGTGTTCTCTTACGCAGAAGGTGCTGCGGAACAGTCTGATTATGCTCTTCCGACATGGTGTTGCCGCCGTGAAAGATTATCTTTTTCGCCAGTGGTCGCTCATCATTGCTGGGCGGTTGCCGGTGTCGGATTTCATTCTCACTGGACGAGTTCGGAGCAAGTATCGAAATGGAAGCCTGGGTCCGGTTCAGGCCGGTTTATTTCGTCGATTGGCTGAGTCCGACCCTGGACTGGTGATGAAGAACAAGGAACGGATCGAGTACGTGATGGTCGCAATGCCTGGCTCTTCGTACAAGCTTCGTGATTGCGTTGTGACTCCAATGGAGTTGCTCGAACAATGGGACGCCTACACAGTTTTCTCGTCGTACTACATCAAAAGGCACGTCAACGCTGCATTGCAAAGGTGCTTCGGCCTGGCCCCACACACCATTGATATCAATGCTTGGTTTGAGAGTTGCCCCAAGCCAAGAAAGCGTGTTCACTTTTGGCCTGTAGCCAGGACAGGAAGCAGTTCCATGATTTCGTCATACTTCGGCACCGATCGTTGTGGCCTTTGCGGTGGCAAATGCCAAGCCCGGGGACGCGCACGGGCTGTGATATGCCCGTCCTGTAGAGAAGACGAAGTGAAGGTTTCGATGGTTGCCAATCGGAAGCTTCAGAGACTGCAACGTGAAGCGAACGCAGGTAAGTGAAGGAAAGTTTTGTGTTTTGCTACAATGGCATCATATGGGCATCATGTTGACAGCATGTTGCTCGGCGCATTTCCCTGCATCCTCTCCAGTCGCAAAGGCTTGCAGCGCCTGCAACCTGTGTTTTGAGGACGCCACTACTTTTGCTCCGTTGCGGACTAATGACAACAGCACAGAGCTGGTGTTATCTACTAGTAGCGGGAAGCGGCAACAAGGAGTGGCCACTCCGCTTGCTGCCTGTACCTCGACGGACTGCCCAAATACCTACCAGCGGCACCGGCTACGTGAAGACTGCCTGGAAGCCGAAGCCATTTGCCTCACGTTGGAGTCCTTACCACCATGAGATATTGAGTGCGTTTGTGTTTGACGTAGTTTCTGCGCGTCGTCGTGCGAGTAACAAGAATTCGAAGTTCGACAATATGAAGGCACTTAAGAATTGTTACTACTACTGCTAGATATTTCAAAGAGTGTGGCAATAGGGTAGAAGCAAAAAGGAGATATGTACAAGACAGGAAGCAATTTTGCGTCAGTTGATCCTTCCTGTCACTGCTCCACTCTGATACAGGAGTGCTATGTACAAGGAGCTTGGTTGAGATGTGGTCAAACAGTGAGTTTGAACAATGGTAGCATGAAGGGAAAATGGAATGTAGAGTTTCGCGTGCGCGGTGCTGTAGCATTGCCCTGGAGGGTGTCCGACGGTGTTTGCATCGAGTCTCCGAGGCCACAAAGCACAGGTGGCACTGAACGAACACTCGAGGTGGTGAGGTGTGTAGCGGATGCGAACATACAGGCGTTTTGTCTCGCTGGCAATTTTGCCAGAGTGTGAAGTTGTGCAGGTGAGTACAGATGCGTTTGCTGGAAGAGAACTGGTTGATAGCTTGAAAATCGCATGTGCTTGGTGATTGAAGGCAACTTTGACCGGGATCCTATTTTGTTTCCGTCAGTCATGCGCTGATGCCCCTGCTGAAGCCAAAGAGAAGCGTTGCTTCTTCAAGGGTGGGCAGATCGTGATCGTAGATATCCTGCGCAGCTACACAAGCCTCCCTCCATAGCTCGAGGCTCTCACGGCGAAACTTCTTTCTTGGAGTAGTTTCTCCCTCTTGACGAGCCCGCTTGATGGGAGCATTGGGGGTCGCAGTCATGCCGCCTTCGTCTAGGAAGAGCTTCAGGTACTTCCTCTTGAGTCGGACAATCTCAGCATCACGACGGTTTTGAACCTGAATGAAGGAACGAAAGGGTGTACAGTGAGTTACAGGAACACAGCATAGAAGAGTCAGATCAACGACATGCTTCATGAAGCTTACCTTCTTTCGATCCTGAATACAGTCCACGTTGAATCGGTACGTCAACATGACATTCTCGTATGTGCATAGGATTCTTTCTCTGGGCACAGTGGAGAGAATGGAGACATCGGCAATGGTGGGCTTGACTCCATTGAGGGGGTGGAGGATGTGAACATCCACCGTTTCAGTGCGTGCCACTGATCCTCCTTCAGATGCCGCCACTTCCTCGTTCGAATCGAAGTTGGCCAGTTCATCTTCATTTCCCGAGGATGAATAGACACTTCCCGTCTCGGACGAACAGGACTCACTGCTGGAAGCATCACTGACAACAACTTGCAGCTGATCGTCAGCAGAAGACTTGAGGAAAGAGGCTGCAGGAGACGAAGTGGCCAAACGTTCTCGACTAACGCTTCGTGCAAACTTGAGTTCCGGAGCAACCGTCGTCAGTGTGGTCCCCAGCCTTGGAAGCGCCGTTGGCGGTTGGAGGGCCTTCACTTCCACAACAGACTGAGCAGCAGTGACAGCGGCAGCCAGCTGTGGCTGACTTCCACTGCTGATGCTCAGGCTGGACTTGCGTCTGATCAAGGACATGGTGGCTCCTGCAGCAACAGGTAGCTGAACTTGCTGTTGCAGGCGAGCTTCCACCCTCGGTTTCCAATACCTCTTGCGGTTATTGACAAACCAGTTGGTCAGCTGCTTGAGTTCAATGCCAGTATCGGCCATGATCTGCTGCTTTTCCTGTTCCGTGGGATACGGATGTGCAATGTGCTCGGGGCTCATCATCCAGGCCTTGAGGTAGTCCACCGTCTCGTGCGAAAGTGAATTCGACTTCTTCTTCTTTTGAGGGGGACTTGCCTTGGAGGAGGAACATGGGGAGGACATCTTCTTTGGGGAGGTGGGGGTGGATGGCTTGAAAGCGATTGCAGTGGTGGATGGAGTTGAAGGTGTCTTTAATGAGGACATCTTTCTCAGTAATAATAATGTATGATAGGGTATCAAATCAATCAGCTCAGGAACAGCGAGATTAAGAATCCTTTTTGTCCGATTAATGAGGAGTGACAGAGAGTTGATGGGTCAATAGTGTGAGATACTTTTGAGGCCAGAAGCAGGAAATTCATTTATGCAAGCAACAACCAATCGCAGCAATTGGAAGATCGAGTGTCCACACGAGGGACAAGGCGTGTGTCACAGTAACACCTGGGCATCCGAGAGAATACGTCGCCATTTCACAACGAGCAAGCCCGCCTCATGTTCAATTTCTCTAAGCAAAAAGATCGAAGGGGCTCTGACGTGTTCAAGGCAACTGCAACAAAGACACCACCGTCACTGAACCCGATCCAAAGTGGTACGTCGGCCAATAGAACTCCAAAGAGAACATCTTTGCAGCTGGGTCTTTGAGCAAGGGGAGACACCCTGTCACAGACTTGATGGGCTGACGTTGCACCGAAGGCGTCGGAAGCCAGCTGCTTAAGCTGCACTGGGGCAGTACCGGGCAATCTGCAGTAACTGTGCAATACCTGCCTCCGACCTTACGCTGGCTCCCCGCGAAAAATGAGGGACCATGGTGATGGTTGTGCTCAAGGACCGCGGGGTTCTGGCAGCAATCCTTCGAGGGAAGAAAGATACTGCCTGAGCCAAGCCACTTTAGTCGACATCACCCTTCAGTGCAATGCTACCGGTAGCTATGCGCTTAGGCAGATTTGGTAACCTTTGTTTCCGAAGATGTTCTGGTCACTGAATCAGACGAAATAGCGTCTCTTCCCACGGAGAACCCAGGGCTGGACTGGCTGCCCATCCACATCGATCCTGAACCAGGGCTCGGGGAGATAATCTTTCCAAGCCCTGCGAACGAGAAAGAGGATTGAACGAGGCAAACAAAGCTTCTTGCCACGAAAACCAACTGCAAAACCGTCGCAAGTTGGAATCCAGAACAAAGACGAGCCAACAGGGGACGAATTCAACGACATCGTAATACACACCAAGTACTCTTGATTCTGCTTTGGTATCTTGGTATCTTGGTGCCGCATCGAGCGCCATCAAACGAAAAGGATTCTATTGCTTACCTTAGCTTGCTGTGACAGTTTCCTGATGGATGTCAGGCAAAATTTTTGGTGAGGAGAAAGGAACGGAGACACGCCTTGCATAAAGATACCCACGAAGGCGAAAAACTTGCTTTCCCGCCCATCATCATCACAGCACAGCGGTCTCGGGTTCAACCTTCCCAAGAAAGAGGAGATTGCCCTTTAGAATTTAGAAGACAGTTATCAGTACCAGAAAGGGTTCTCTGTAGCGTTGGTACTTTTGCCTACGCACGGGTGTTTCTTTCAACGGTTTTTTGTGTGACACGTTGCTTTTGATATTTTTGGGACATAGAGGGGAGAACATTATTTTGGGGGTATTGGGATATTCAGGAAGCTTCGGAATAATGTAAATAAATGGAATTATGACTTTATTTCCTCATATCCCCGTATTAGAGGCCCTTGTATCAATGCCTTGCCGTGTCTTCAGAACGGCATTTTGGGACAAGCGTCGATTTTCGCTCGTCAAATCAGATTCCTTGCATCCAGGACTCTTGAAGATTGTATCCAAAACGAGATTTGATCGAGGCGCTGCATGCTACCAAAGGTTGCTGACGCATGATAATATTATCTTCTTCAAGGCTGTTTCTTTCTTGCCGAAGATAAATCCTCCTCTATTGCCACATCAGCCGATGCCGCCGCAAAGCTATTTGCGTGGGAAGCCTTCCATCTGTTTCTGTCTCTTCGTCCAGAACATTGATTGGTGCATACCCGTCACCTTTCTTTCTTTTTGACTACCTACGAATAGTACCAGGTAGGTTCGAGTGGTAAGGCGGGAGCCTTCGGTCGCGTCGGCGATAGAGAGAACGCAACAGTTGTTTGGGTTTAAGCGCTGCTTTGTTGGAAGAATCTGCAGAGTGTCTAAAGACACGACGGCAACAGCCCCATCAGCCCCATTAAAAAACACAAGCTGTTGGAAAGACACACATATTTTGAACTGCTTGGAGGTGTGCTGCTACCCATCCGCATTGGTCAATCTCCATAGCTATCGGCAGCTACTACTAGATCTGGGTACCTTGAAGCTTTATTGCACGTTTCGGTCTGCAGAATATCCGTTGACTTGCATTGTCTCGACTTAACAGAACTGCACTGCATTGAGTCCGCAAGTCATGTCAACGAATCTGAACTACAAGCAAGTCGCCAACGTCAAGAGACGGACGTGGGATGTCGAAGCGTACGAGCAAAAGGCCAAGGCAAGAGCGGACGATGAAAAAGCCGGCGAAAGCGGCGATAAGAATGACAAGAAGGGACGCCGAGCGCCTCCTACAGACGAAGAGAATGCTCCCAAGAGACTCAAAACGGATGGGACCGAAGGAGAGGACAGCAAGGACGAATTCAAGCCTGCGGAACCAGGAGCGGCAGGACCTCAGGGATCGCAGCGAGCCTTCTTGCAGCCACGAACGAAAAAGGTCGAAATCGACTCCTTAATTGGGAATACAGAGATCATTTCGGCAGAGGCAGCGGCGAAAACATCGCTGAATGACAAAGAAGGGGGTTCCGTCAAGGTGGGTACTGAAAAATGCGCTGCTACCTACCCAATCCATTCTCTTGCTCTTTATTACTTGCTAACTTACTTGAATTTCTTTTTTTTCATCTTGGTATAGGATGGTGTCACAAAAAGTGGGGTGGGATGGCACTGCAGTGTTTGTGACTGCTTCTTGAAAGATTCCATGACATACCTTGATCATGTGAGTGGACCAAATAAATAGCTTTATGGAAATCGTGATGCGGGACGTTTTGTTTGTTTTGACCTAACAATTTCTTTTCACCTGTTCTTTCCTGTTTGTTACCGTTCTGGCCAAAAAATCCAATGATTACAACAATTCACTATCAGATCAATGGACGAAAACATCAACGAAAATTGGGATTCTCCATGAGAGTTGAACGGTCTACCAAAGATCAAATGCTGGGAAGACTCTCAACATTAGCCAAGGAAAAAGACCGGGCTAAACAAAAATCAGAGGCAGAATTGGAAGAAATGGAGGAACCCAATTTTCATGTCATGGTCAAGAAAAAGGACGAAAATGAGGCCAAGAAGAAAGAGGAACGCGCCAAGAAGAGGAAGGAAAAGAAAAAGAAGAAAAAGCAAGCTGCAGAAGCGACAGCAGAACCCAAAGCAATTCCACACGAAGAGCCAGAAGCTACTAAGGATGCAGGCGGCGACGAGGAAGAAGAGGCAGAAGCTACCATTGATCCTGCCTTGGCTGCTATGATGGGATTTTCTAATTTTGGTGGTGGAAAGTGAATCACCAACACGGCAACCAGCATGTTGGGATACAATATACAATCTGCTCGGGCATTTCAACGCGTAGCGGCTCAAAATGTCCGCTAATCTTCCAAACAAAGTCACTAAAATCACCTCAGTTCGGTGTGGTTCACTTTTTGAGTGTACATTTCACCTCAGTTCGGCGTGGTTCTTTTGAGTGCGTGCTTCAATTCGCGAGCGTAGCAGAGTTTGGTTGCGGCTAGATGTTTGGGTTTGGCCATACCCTTTGTCCCATCTCCATTACAGAAAAACTACAAGTACGACCCCTTTCGTATGAGGGCTGCAATATGCTGATGCTGGCTTCTTGTTACCGATGGTTCTGTGCCTGCCCGATCTTCATTGATACCGGTAGCCCGAAAGCCAGGTCGAGAGTACACGTCGTATGGGCGCAAATTCAGGTTGTTGACCAGTTGGTGCCTTTCCTTCTGAGCAGAAGACTCAATCTATACTCAACTACCAGGTACCACAGTTGTCAGGAGTGCTGACATTTTGCTGTAGTCTGCTAGCCAGTGTACCGATCGAATAGTAATAACCAGAAGGAAGATACATGACATTGTCGTGGTAGTCTATCGGTACAGTACCGTACTAGTACGGTACATGCACAGGTATTGGTACCGTACGGGTACCATAGGTACTTCTAGCTAGCTAGTACCGACCGTACGGGTGTCAGGTAGAATCGAATCTTGTGCACAGCCAAGTTGGAAAGCAGCTTCGCTGGTTTACTATTCGTACAGATTCCTCGATGTTGACATCCGAAATCATGAAAGATCATCTTTGATGCTGCAGTAGCCTCGAGTGTACCTTGATTGCCTCACCCCGTCTGAACCTTTAGAATACCGTACCGTACACTCAACTGCTTTGACCTGGAAAGTGAAGCCTCACCTGTACCAATACCTGGTATCGAGCAGATAATAGCCAGAAATGCGTTGATCTGAATTGAATCTCAATCAAGAAGAATGATTCGCTCCATTCTTCGTCAGAACTTCAAAGGTCAAAGGCTACAAGTACATGTAACACAGTCGTGTCGGCGTCGTCGACTTACTGTCAGGGGTCCACTTCACCTGGAAAGAGGCGAAACAACCAATAGCTCATACAGTCAATCTGCGGCCTTCTTCAGTAGCTCCTACTATGATTACGGGGAGCAATCTGCGGCAGAAGATGTCGGACTCATCAACAAACCAACTGATGAAACTCTACTAGAAGAAGAAGATGATAGCAATAACAATGGTGACGATGGTACCGGCACTAGTCAGACGGGAGAAATGTCAGTAGACAAGTTCCTGGACATGGAAGATGAATTGAATGATTTCGTCCAATCACAAAGCTGGAGGACGTCCAGAGACAACATAGATCACTCGCTTCGGCTACTGAGTAAAATGGTCCGAGAGTACGAAGCCAATCCACAGCTTTGGGAAGAACATGATTTGAAGCACTGGGCAGGGGGGAGGTACCCACGATGTGCAAAACTCCTGGATGAAATCCTGACAAATTGGATGAATTGGTGGCCAGAGAATAGGCATCGTGCACAAGACATTGGTCCGAAAACCATGTATGATCTTGTCAACAACTTGAGTTCGGGATCGCCACCGCTTCAGCTTACTGACAAGACCTACAGCATCTTGGTCAGTGCAGCCTCCAAAGGAGCCAGCGATCCAAGGACAGTCCCAATGTTCGCTGAAAAAATGTTGGATCACGTACTGGAGGAGTCTACCAAGAATCCTTTGCTTCGACCATCCAACATATTTTTCAATGCTGTACTTGCCGCTTGGTCCAGAAGTGGATTGCCAGAAGCAGCTGAAAGAGTCGAGTCTTTATTCAATTCCATGTGTTCCTTGTACGAAGATGGTATCCTAGACCACCCACCAGATGATGCCAGCTACGTTGCAAGGATGCAAGCGGCGAGCATTGGGAGAGACAGAGAGGTCCCGCATCGAGTTACTGCCATTTTGGACGAAATGAAGGAGTTTCCCTTTGAACGGGTGGAACCGAATACTGCTGCATATCGAATGGCCATCCACGCATGGATTCATTCCAAAGAACCACAATCAACTCAAAAAGCTTACACTCTGTTTGTGGAAATTGTAAGAAAGTACATGTCCACTCGAGACGAGCAAGTGCTCATCGACACGGATCTATTTTCCATCATGATTTCCACTTTGGCAAAGGCAAAAGAATCGGAAAAGGCAGAAGAAATATTTGAATTATTAAAAGAACTCAGGGATAGCACAGGAGACCATCGATTTGATCCAAGCACCAAAGTTTTGCTGGGCATGATTATAGCTCATCGGTACAGCCGACAGGCCGGCTCATCAGAAAAGGCACACGCCATTCTTTTGCATCTGGAGGCTTCAAGAGGCTTCATACCAAAACGTTCTTACTATGTTGATGTCCTCAAAGCGCTGATTGAATGCAAGACAGAGAGCAGCTTGGATCGCGCGGAGCAACTATTGGCAAGGATGGTCCATCATCAAAGCAAGAATAAGGCAACAAATATGCTGTTTGACAAACAGCTGCATGACCAAGTTGTATTGGCTTGGTCTCGCAACACCAAAGTTAGGGATGCCCCTGTTCGCGCAGAAAGACTGCTGCAGACAATGCATGATGTTTCCAAACAGTTGAAGAATGACAAGATTGGCCCAGACGAACAAACCTATTCTCATGTCATGGCTGCCTGGCGCCGATCGCAAGACTCGAGTGCACCTGATCGGGCTGAAAAGCTCTTTCTTCAAATGTTGCAGCGTTATGACCGGGGCGATGTGAGGATGAAGCCGAACCTGATGCACTACACAACACTCATCGCCACTGTGGCACGAAGCAGCCAGCCTGACGTGCCCGCCAGGGCGCAGACGCTATTCGACGATGCAATATCGCGCTATGAGGCGACCGGAGACAAGACATGGCAACCAGACAGTTACCTTTACAACGCCATGATGGTTGTTTATCGGAATGTTGGAAACGCAGTTGCTGCGGAAAAGCTGTTTCTGGAATTGTACGAATCCTATGTTGATTCGAGAGACACGAATCTGATGCCGTCAAGCCGGTGCTTCAATACTTTGCTGGAGGCTTGGATCAATTCTAACAGTCCCGAGTCTCACGACAAGGCAAAGTTTCTATTTGACAGCATGGTGGAGTTCTCAGAGGAAGACCTTCTGAACGTGCCTCCCGATGGACACACGTTCAAGCTAATGATTGATATGGTGGCCAGCAGCGGACAAGACGACGCCGCGGAACAAGCGGACAAGTACCTCGAGCTACTCAAGGCTGCCCCAATCCTTGAGAATCAACTGGGGCATGGGAAGATTTTCGCTTCGTACTTGTCAGTAATTGGTGCATGGTGCACCGGGAAGACTGACAATGATAAGGCAATGGCAAGAGCCGAGGTTCTAGTCGCCGAACTGATTGGTCTGGCCCAGTCCGGCAAGATTCCACACCCCACACGCACTGAATACGCTCGCTTCGCCTCCATAGTTTCAGAGAGCAAGTTGCCAGAAAAGTATTCGAGGGCAGTGTCAGCACTACAGGGTGGTGGGAAGGATTTGCGACAAGAAGACGGTGAACTGTGAAGGTGGAGCTATTTTTGCCTAAAAGTGGTTACCGAACCATCATGGCTCGGGGACAGCGAAGTTGATTCCTTCGCTTCACGTACCAGCTTTTCGAATACTTTGTCGCAGACGTTCCCATGAGAAATTGAAAGTTTGAGGTACAGCCGTACGCTGCACATGTGAACGTATACTCTAGCTAGAGGGGTATCCAGCGTTTCTCTCTCGTTCATGTTACGTTGGAGGCATACCGTACCGGTACCGATATCTTAGTCATTGGGGCCAGCCACTGCCATAGTACCTACTAATAAAATAATTGTCGAAATATGCTTGCCATGCGGCTCCTTCCTGGGGCCATCGGTACCAGGTACCAGGAATCGAATCAACCGGTGCCAGCGGGACATCCGATCCCACCGTGAAGCTCTTCGAGGGAGTGAGACCTGTAGTTTTTCTGGTTCCCGCGGGAATCCTGCTGCATTGGATGGCTATTGGAAAATTCCCTGGATTACCGTTGAAGCTGCCAACAAAGACAGGCCCGACGCGTGCTTGCTCCATTTTTCCTCCAAAGCAAGCACATGCAATACAACCGACCGTGTTGTTGCCATGGATGGAGTTGTGTCGCTACTGGTACCATAGTTGCATCGACCAGGAAGGAGTGATAGCGGAACAGAGCCCCAAAGCCAAGAAGAAGGAGAGGAGAAAGAACTTTTTTACCACCATTTGAACCACATTTTGATTTTCGCCAAGCACTACTCCAAATAATACTGTAGAGAGCAACCATGAGTGTCAGAGTGGCGCAAGGCAGCCATGCGCTGGATTCTCACAACGATGCCAAGTCGATCAGCTCTTACCGATCTACTCACACAACTCGCTCTTCCGTACTGGAGAGAGCCCGTGAATACAATCGCCGCATTGACGAACAAAAACACCGTCGATCAAAGTCTCTAGAGCGAGATTCCGACGTGCCCGACAATGCTTCCAGTGCATCTGGCGCTACTCCCCGCTCTCAATCCGCAGGCAGGATGTCTAGTAGTCAGGTTGCACAGGGCAATCGTCCATCCACTCGAGAACGCGCCATGGCTTCTGTGCAGCGTGAAAGTATGGGCAGTAACAATGCTGCACGAAACCATGATGCGCATCCTCAGCACCAAGCAGAAAATAGAAGCAGCAGCCATCATACACGGGCCAGCTCTACGAGTCACCAACGAGAAAGTCCTGGAGGGAACGAAGCAGCACAGCCAACACCACGCTCACGCTCTTCTGCGGGCTCATACAGCTCACACATGAGCCGTCCAAAGCCCACCACACCTCGCATTGCCAATGGCTCCAGTAGCCATCACAACAGCAACAACCATCATCACAACCAAAATAACAATAGTGCCGGCCACAATGCTCACTATCAAGAGAAAACTCGCAGCCATGGCAATCATCATCCTAATCAACAAACACGTCACAGCCACCCAAGGGTGAGCACTGATCAGCCTTATACTAGCAAGGATCCTCCTGTGCAGTCGGCAAGGTCCTCGCAAATGGGTCGGTCCGCAGATAGCAATAGAATGTCACATCCAGAACCAAAAGAAGAAAACCACGAGGCAGTTGTCACTCCTGAGCTATTGGTGGATGCACTCTCGGGGCACGAGGATGGGCTTCTGGCTATTGCGGAGCGGCTCATGGAGCATTATGATAGTGGATACGATGTCATGGGAGAGGCAATCATTGATGCCTTTGCAGATGTGCAAAAATTATTTCAACACGTCGTGGAGGCAGCTCACATGGAAGGAGCCGCCTTTGAAGCCTCCCGCCGGGAAGAAGAGATTTCGGAATTGCGGAAGCAAGCTTCGGCAGCCGGAGAACTCAATCCCCAGGAGGACAGCCTTCAAAACGGTGGACAGAATCAAAATGGGACTGGTGGTCCCACTCGCCACGATGAATTCATCGATCAGGATGTCAAGGATATTCTGAATGAAGCGATTCGGAAAGGAACCAACTACAGAAACAGCGGCAAGTACACGGAATGCTATCATTTGTACGAGCAGGCATGCCAGTCGGCGTCATCACTGCTTCCGGTGGATTCTGATCACAGAGGACGTCTGCAGCTTTCTATTGCAAGGGCAGAGAGTATGAGCCATGAACGTGCCTGCGCTATTCTACGCTACGCCATGGATGATGTGCTGCGATCTGGTCTTCGAGCCGGAAATGTGCCTCTACCAGATCCCAGTCAACGTGCCGATGTTGTTCTGAACAAACCTCGAGGCCATCCCACAGCCACGGGAGCTACTGGTCAAGGAGGAGTTGTCCAAAGCTCGGAAGAAGCTTTGAACAGTCTTGTGGAAGAAATGAGAGAGGTTCTTAGTGCTCCTGTATACAACAACACTCCCATCCAAAATGTTGCTCAGCGGTTCCTGGCGGCCTTGGCGGATGCACAGAAATCGCAACAAAAGAACGAAGAAAAACTCGAGCAAAACTTGGCTAAGTTGAAGGGAGATTTCCTGTTGGCACGAGCGGTAAGTTCATGGACATGTTTTTGTCTGTTTTTGTACACGCTTATCTTCTTGCTGACAGCCACGTGTCCATGCATGCTCTCTATTCATCAGGAATGGGAAGAAAAGCTCAATTCCACCCAGGAAACGGCGGATATCTTCAAAGAGAAGTACAGTAAGCTCAAGGATTCTGTGCGTCAGAACAGCGCGGATGGTTCAGGGTCGACGTACCTGGACCATGCCCGGTCCGCCCTTGCATCACAGCAGCAGAGAGTGAATTCTGAGGAAGAGACTGAGACATACGGATTTTCCACGATCCGGTCCACGGTATCCAGGGCTGGCTCCCATGCGTCCCTTGGAAGCGGACTCGCCAATCATGCAAGAAGCATTGTAGGGTCATTTTCATGCGCTGGAGGCAATGTCCGATCAGGAGGCGTGATTGCTCAAGAACTGGCCGAGAACCGTGATGCTGAGATCAGAGAAATGGCCTTTCGGCACGATTCTGGGAAGCGAGATCGCGACCGTCGTCGCTCCAGCAACGGCGACAAGAGAAATGCGCACAGTATCAGCATGAGCTATAGCGATCGCTCTGTTACGGCGAGCGAAGCACAGTCGCAGTCTACAGGCGGACAGCAACAGCAGAATCGACGTACCCCTCACTCCGTGGCATCGGGTTCCACGAGAAGCAAGTCGTCCCGCAGTTTTCGTGAGTACTCACGCTCACCGCAACGTGTCGACTTTTAGATTGAATGAGGTTGGCGTTGTGAATGGGGGGCACCGCAGGTACTAGTAGTACATTAAACACAAGCATTGTCAATGATATATTTCCATTTAATAAAATCAAGCACTCAGTTGCTCATCTGGTTCCGGTGAGGGAGCTTTGCGTCGAATCTACTTCAAGCGTGCTTGTGGGTTGCCGTCGAATCGAATTCAATCCACTGCAAGTGCAAAACGGTAGCAACGCCGGAATCCAAATGCCCACCTTTGAAGCCTTGTCCACCCATGGGGGGAAGGCTTGAAAAAACATCACCAAATATGCTCTTAGTGGCCAGGAAGCACAATTATTCTTTACAACAAAACAGAGTCTAGGCAGACTGGCCACGAATGGTTGTTTCAAATGAGGTGCAACTCGCTAGTGTAAAACGTAGCAACGCCTGCATCCAAAGGCCCACTCTGAAGCCTTGTTGACGGATGGAGGAAAAGCTTGCAACCAAATCACCAAACCAATGCTCTTAGTGGCCAGGCAGCACCATTATTCTTTACAACAAAACAAACCAGAATCTAGTAGATTGGCCAGGAATGGTTGTTTCAAATGAGATGCAACTCGCTTGCCAGAACCGACTGGCTGAATGATTCAATCAACTCGGACCATCTTAGCTCTAAAAATCATGTGCTGTTTCCTTCTATTTCTCTCCTTTTTTCTTGCTGAGAAAAGCAACCATCCGAACAACCAACATTTTCTTTAGAAGAATGCGTCCTCATAATCTTCTCCAATTTGATCGTATGAATCATACTGGTTGGAATCACCAAAAAGTTCAGCTTGTTTCCGTTGTGCTTCCTGTTCTTTTTGTTTGTCGCGTTTGGTTGAGGCCTTTTGTGCCTGTCCCTTGACCTTTCGCTTGGCAGCCTGTACCTTTTCATTTTTGAGGACATTGCAGGTCTTGATAATGTCTTGAATGGCATCAGCATCCAGTGTGTCTTTAGACTCCTTGATCAATTCATCAATGAATGCTTTGGTCCAGTAGACTTTGCCGTGATCCTGATTGAATGAGAGAAAAATGAACGAATGAGCAAATCAGGGAACATTAAAACGGTGCCCGGAGGAAGGAAACAAGAAAAATGACAAAGAAATGACAAAACACCATAAAGCAACCATAAAACAACTTACTCTCATGGCACCAGCACACTTTCTGGCATGTTTCAAATGCGATGGCAGATCCGTCAAGACCAACTTGTCAGCCCCAACCCCACTCGCAGCGGCGGCCTTTCCCTTGTTGTCATCCACTCCACCAAATAGGTCATCAGTCAACGCATTATCAGCTTGTTCAATTCTCATTCGCTCCTTGAGACGGAGTTGATCGGGAGTCATGTTGGCTTCTTCTTCGGCCTCCAATTCCATGAGTCGCTTCGCCAATTCTATCTCTTCCTGTTTGGCGGCTTCGGCTTCTTTTCTGGCTTTCAATGCATTTCCCTTTTTCTTGCTTTGTTCCTGAGCTGCCTTTTCGGCGTCTTGTTTTTCCTTGAGGGCCAGATCCTCTTCATCTGCAAAGTTGGGCTCATTATTTTTCACCAGACCCAACTTTTTGTCAATTTCATCGTCGTCGGCATCCCAATCGTCGTCACTGTCGTCCCAGTTGTCTGCCATCTTGATCTATTTGAGAATATTTATTCTATACGCTATTGGTTTCCAAAGGCGGTGGTGATGATGTGAATTGTTGATTGCAACAACAGCAAAAATAATTAAGACCCAGAAATGGTGCTATTATTGCTGGCCAAGAGCCGAAGAGTGGCTGTGAACCGTTGCATGTTTCGAAACGTTTGTTTCGTGTGGTTGAAGCAACCGCCACGCCAAAGTGCGTTTGCATTCACGAAAGGGACTGAACCAATGCTGCCTGAACAAAATTCTTCAATCACCCAGCCAGCCACTTGGCCACTCTTCATGACACGCTAGTAGCCACCCGTACCGGTAGTAGCAAGCAGCAAGGACGAACAAGACCTATCGAAGTGGAGCAATGGACAACGACGACAACGAGAGGAATGAACGATTCTTGAGCAACTTGCGTAGTACCAATGACCAAAGAAGGCAGAAATTGCATCGGCTCCTTGCCGAGTATGACCAAGAACTTGAGGAATGGAAGGTCGCCAATCCGGATGTTACTACATGTAGACCATCACTAGAAGACCACCGCATGTCCCTCGAGGTGGAATGGGATCTTCTCCAGGAAACCAAAGAACAAATGTTTGAAAAAAGCCTGGTACACATTGCTTCCGTCTTTCCTGATTTTGCAGAAAGTGGGCCATCCGAAGCTGTGGTTCGCCATTGCCTGTTGCAAGAATATTCCGAGCAAGTACTGGAGTCCTATCATGATTTGGCAGAAACACACTGGACACTCCAAAAAGTTCTGGAACGAGAAAAAGCCAAGCTCGAGCTGAAACAGACGTATCTCAAACAACAGCAGAATACTGTGACTCGGCTGCAGGAACAATTGCGGTTTTACAAGCAAAAAGAAGAAACTGAAAAGGAGACTCTAGCAGAAACTGATGACAAGGAACAGAATGAGCACCAGTCACAAGTGTCCACATTGAAGAAACAAAATGAGTGGATTCGTGGTGAACTTGGCTATGTATGCCAACAACTCATGGCCAAGCTTGCAAAAGACATTGAAAAGGGGGAAGCGGCGAAGCAACCAACGGAGAGCAAAGAACAACAGTCTAGCAAACACAAAAAGAGGAAAAAGACAAAGCAAAGGGACAAAGAGGGCCAGGCTGACGAAACTGATTCCAAACGTACCTCAACAATGGAAGACACAGTGATGGAACTGGTTACAAGGTTGCTGGACAACCCTTCCAATCCCTATGTGTTTGTGGGAGAAAATGGAAATGCAGACGAGGCAAATCCATCGAATTCACACGACAAACTTGGCAGGAAGGAAATCATGGAGGTATTGATTGATTCTGGAGTGACCGTGGAACACCAGGACAAGTCCGGTTGGGTTTGTTTGACGGATTACAGAGAATAGACGAGATAAGAACATTCTTTTGATTCAGCTGGGGAAGAATGGGTTGAAAGGAAGGATAGGGAAACAATTTACACTATTTGCAATCAGAGAGTAAAGAAATAAAGGGGATCCGACAAGATCCTGTCCTGCAGTGCATGATCGAATTCATTGCAGTTTTGGATAAGTTGTCGATGCTGTGACTGAGCCATTTAGTTTTCTAGCTAGAGTCCGTGTCAAAGATCCTCGTGTACGCTTACTAGTGCCAATTATTATTTCTCGGGCTGCCAAACCCGCTTCCGTAGGAGCAACCATGACGTGCTGATGCCGAGAGCGGTATTCCAATAGCATTCCATCCATTGCATCTTCATCAGAGAGAAGCCACCAACGAAAATGATTGCACTTACCGGTATCTTCAAGCTGCTCTGCTGCTTGTTTATTCTTCCACTTGGAGGCATTTTTTGGAGTCAAACTAGTCGGCTGCAAGTTGAACTTTTGGGGGCTTGAAGACAGAGGCACGCAAAGCTCCAGTACGACTTTCTTTGCCTGATGGCATTTAGCCCAATCAGCGTAGCGTCCCGCAGTACGGACTCTCTCCAGCAGCGGTCTCCTTATCAGCCCCACAACTGTCGGCAGAGAGCTTTTGGAAGTGAGAGTGCCAATTGACTTCGTCATCCAGCCAGTCAACAATCCAATTTTTTCACCATGAAGTTCTGTAGCGCACTTCTGACGATCTTTTCAGTATGCGTCGTGGCCGATGCTTTCGTCCCACGCTCTCGCCCAGCCCTGATGCGAGGAGGCGGCCTCAGCCCTTTCATGTCTGCTACTGCCGAGGAAAAAGACACCAAGGACGAGAAGTCTGATGGCAAGAAAGCAGGCAAGGATGCCCCACCAACACACCTCGGATGGAACACACACAATCCAGTGGTAAGAACATTTGGATGTTCCGGACGTGCCGTTGATAGTATCGTTGAAACTCTGTTCTTATCTTTATTTTCCTGATGAACTATTTCATTTAGAGCGAAGCACCTAGCTCACTCGTCCGAGAAATGGATGGTGGCCCAGATGGAAACTACCCTATGCGATCCAAATTCGAAAAGATGTGCCGTGATGCACAAATCGCCATCACAAAGGCAATTGAAGAAATTGACGGAGAAGGACAATTTAAGGAGGATTGCTGGACACGCGAGAACGGGGGAGGTGGTATCTCTCGCGTTTTGGCTGGAGGAAAGGTCTTTGAAAAGGCCGGAGTCAATCTTAGTGTAGTCTACGGGTCCATGCCTCCAGAGGCTTTGCAGGCCGCCACTGAGAGAGGTGTCGACCGAGCCAAGGGAATGGCTCCTGGCGAACGTGTCCCCTTCTTTGCTTGTGGGCTTAGCAGTGTCATGCACCCCAAAAATCCCTTCTGTCCCACCATGCACTTCAATTACCGATACTTTGAAACTGATGGAGGTGTCTGGTGGTTTGGCGGCGGTACCGATATCACTCCCTGCTACATTAACGAAAAGGATATGAAACACTTCCATGGAACCTATAAGGAAATCTGCGACAAGCATGATCCTAAATACCACGAAGAATTCAAGGCCTGGGCCGATCGCTACTTCGTCATCCAACACCGAAACGAAACTCGTGGTTTTGGTGGTATCTTCTTCGACGATCAAAATGATCGCGAGCCCGACACTATCTTTGAATTCAGCAAGGAATGCTTGAACAATGTCATCAACGCCTACGGGCCCATCATTGAGGAGCACAAGGACGATGAATACACCCAGAAACAAAAGGAGTGGCAACTCATGCGTCGTGGACGGTAAGTAGTCAAAGACATACGGGAGATTTGTGAATGGATCCGGTTGCTAACAAATGCGCTCCTGTACCGGTATATTATTATGTAGATATGTTGAATTCAACTTGGTCTACGACCGTGGAACTGTTTTCGGACTCAAGACTGGAGGAAGAATCGAGAGTATCTTGATGAGTCTGCCTGAAACAGCACGATGGGAATACAACGCTGTTCCGGAACCGGGCACACCCGAAGCAGATTTCTTGGATGCTTGCACGTTCCCAAGAACTTGGGTTTAAATTTTATTCATAAACTTTAGGAAATGAGAGAGCTGCAAACTTCGCATTGTGTGTTTTGCTCGTTGGCGGTCTTGGTGAGTGGAGGCGATGACAAGTCAGCATGAAGAGGTTGAAATCTGATTGAATTGAACAAGCAGGTTGGTGTGAATCTTAGAGAATGCTCGGTCTACAGCTGCTGAATGATTCAATCCATCTATTTGGTCATGTCAATACACAGCTGATAATGCTATTAATAGTTTACGAGTCTCCACCTGCACTTGGTTCACTGCGGCTAAATTCGAAGGAAGGAAGAAGTGATGACTTTGTTTCAAGCAGCCTGTGCGCAACTAGTCAAAAAGTTTGTGTCGAACGGACTTGTATTGGATCAAGTGAATGTTCATATGTGTTTGCCAAGCACCAGGTGGTCAGGGCATGCATTCCACCAGACATTCTGGTATCCTTTGATGGTTCTGTCTCTCTCCTCCACTCACTTGCTCCCCAGGCCACTCTAGGCCTCGCCCCACAATAAAGTCTCGATTCCAGAGCCTGGTGGCATGCCTCGAACCACTATCACAGATGATGGTAACCACGTTGGAATCGGGTTCCAGTTGCAATGCCACTCGAATGGCCCCTACAACGTTCATGGCCGAGGAGGAACCTACCCATAGACCCTCTGTCTGGAGCAAAAAGTGTGCCATGTCGATGGCCTCTTGATCCGATACTTGAATGGCATCATCCACAAAGTCAAGCCCCAATGATAAGTTATGTGTGACGCGATCCAAACCAATGCCTTCGGCAATGGTGTCATATCGATGCCGTTGTAGTTTCTGCTCTCGTTGCTGTGGGGCAAACGCTACACCATGTTTGATTTTGTGGTAAAGTGAGCTCCCAGGTGGGTCGACCAGCACAATGCGACAACCGTCGTGGGACTGTTCCTTCAAGTACTTTCCCATTCCCGAAATGGTGCCACCTGTGCCTGCCGACATGACAAAGGCTGATAATTGTTGTTGTCGTTGTCGTTGTCTCCACGAAGTATACCAATTGCTGTTGTTGCTTGCTGTACTACATGAATGAAATTGCTGCCATAGCTCTGGTCCTGTAGTCTCATAATGCGTCTTGAAATTGGCTTGATTTTCAAACTGGTTCATAAAGGCTGCTTTTCTGTTTTCATTACGGGCTCGTTCTGCCAGTCGTTTGGCAATGTTCACATAGTGGTTGGGATTGGAAATGGCAGCCGTCGGTACCACATACACAATTGCCCCCAAGGCTCTCAAGATGGCCTGTTTTTCGGTGGCCTGATCATCGGGCATGACGACCAGACACGAATGTCCTCGGGCTGCTGCCAAAGTGGCCAATGCAATCCCCGTCGATCCCGAGGTTCCTTCTACGACAATGCCGCCTGACCGTGATTTTTGGTAGGCTTGATGAAGGATTTCTTCCATGGGATCATTGTTGGTATCCTCATTATTTTTGGAAGAAATGGCATGTCCATTGGAGCTTGCTTCCTCTTCCCGCAACTCCAGAGAGGATGAGAAGGCTTGTTCTTGAGCATTAAGCGGAGGTGGCAACAGTCCTTCCCGTTCAGCTTGCTGAATCATTCCTAGGGCAGCTCGATCTTTTCCAGTGGCCCCAGGATTCATGGATTCCATCTTGACCCAAATATTTCGACCCACCATGGCCGACAGTTTTTCCAGGCGGACCAATGGCGTGGATCCAATCAGTGTTTCATAGGCGGATTGTTGTTGACATGGTGCTGTTGTCCTTCTGTGTTTCTGCTTCCAGGAATACCAGAGGAAAAGCGAGGAGCTGACACCTAAAAGCGCCAAGCTTATTGTACTGGACGTTGACAATGTTGTCCTTGCTGTCATGGTTTTATCGAGGAATAGTAGCTACCGGTAGATAGGTCTGTCGCAAACAGTGGTAATACCGGCAGGCAGCAGGGGGTCGACACAGATGTCAAAATGGAGTTCTGGTTTTGGCAAAACAAAATGGAAATGGTCATTTCAGATGCAAATTGGTCATTTCGCGAATCCTACATTGAAATGAATGAGATTGAAGAAATAAAAATAAATTATACCACCATGGCAACAGTGTTGACCAAATGGCCATTAGCTCTACCAATACATTGAGATAGCCAATCCTTTTCTAGAAGTAGATCCCCAACACACTCACAGAGCCACCCCTCAAAAAGGATTGGCTACTGTATCTCCAAGGTTTCCTATGGAGCCTCTGTGAAAAACCAGGCTTGGATTCCATTTTCTTGTCATTCTGCCATGGATTTCTCCATGGGAAAGGTGATACAACTGTCACTCTCAGCACTCAATCTGCATTGCAGAGTCATGTAAATGAATGGGTGGCTTTGCATGCATGAAGACTGGAGCACCCATCCAAAAGATTCGATTCATAGGAGAATTGTTGACTTGATGGCCACAAAAATGGAGCAGATTTGATGTCGACAAGTCAATACAGTAGAAGAGTAGCTGCCGCTTGTTGCATTAGTAGTCAAAGGCTCTGTTAACAATGAGAGCAGTTGGAAGAGCCACTCATCGATCCGTCATCGCTCCGTGAAAGAGGAAGCAGTCATCGATCTGTCGAATTGTCGAGGCGTCGCTTGTTGTTGTTTCAACAGTAGTACTGGTAGTCGCTTGTTGTTTTATTACCGGCATCATGGTCGATCGATCGATCGCTCCGTAGTAGCTCCATGGTCGCTCCGTGGAAGCAGGAAGAAGAAAGAAGTCACCGGTCGACCGAATCGATCCGTCGAACGGAGGAAGCTCACTGCCACTGCTTCCAGTCTATCCAAACAAGAGGAGCCTGTCATGGTGGAGTACTAGTAGTAGCAGTCATGAGAGAGGAGTAGCCGCTGTAAGGAGGAGGTAGTAACATCATCTTGACAGAGAGTATGACCGACATGTACCAGTGGTAATAGTGTGGTGTGGTCGAACCGAGATCTTCGATGCGAAGATCGGGCCCGGGAAGGCATCAGTTTGAAGGATTTAATGACGTCATCCCGCCCCTTCAACATACGGTACCTTGTGACACCAGCATCGCGATCACAAAACTAACTGAAGTCAACACAAACACACAGAGATAGAGCGTTGAGACCTTGTTTTAAAAGTTACCCCTCTGTGTTCCATTTTACAGTACTAGCTAGACAGATACAACCACTGGATACAACTATGAATTCTCGAAGCTTTCTAGGCGTGACTCTTGGTTTTTTCTTGGTCTTGGTGGTGGAATCACTGTCACTAAAGCCGCCTCTGCGAGCACCATTGCGTCCTTCAGCAGGATCACGGCAGGTATTGGCAAGACATTCCAATCTATTTCTCGTCCGTGGGGGCGATACAGAAGAAGAAATGACAGAAGTACCCATCACATCCGGCAACATTAACAACAGGATCATGTCGGTTCTGGATCCTTCTGCTGTCACAGGGGCTTTGGTAGCATTGGGGACGTTCTATTCCAATTCCCTGGAATCGGCACCTGTCCTCACTAAGAGTGTAACGGTACGTGTCAACTTGCCAACTGTCTGTTCGTGCCAACTTGTCAAACTCACACTGGTATTTTGGTTGGATTGTCGTACCTTATGATGTTGTGTATATAGGCAGCGGTTCTGTTTGGCATTTCGGACCAACTCGCACAAGGACTCGAGATTCAACGGAATCGAGCCAAAACGGGTGAAACATCCAGCAAACCACTCGTAGCCATCACCAACAAGAAACGATCCGTATTCTCGGCTCTGGTTGGGTTGCTTTACTTTGGACCCATGGCGCATTTGTGGCAAGTACAGTCAGAGTACAAACAACGGGTCGAGTTGTTTGCTCAAGTTCTTTGGACACTTGCTCCACTCGGATCAATCACATTTATTTGTATCTGATCATTTTCTTACTCCTACTATAGGTACGGTTGGATCTTCAAGACATTCCCAGGTATGACTGTTCAGGTTCTTTGGATACACTGGTCCTCTTCTATCTCATTCAATTGACTGTTGATTGACCTTCCTGCTTCTTGATGTCGGCTTACCGTACTTACAACTTGGGCAAAAGGCAAGAGCATGTTGTCCATTTTACAAAAGGCTGCATTGGGCCAATTCTTCTTTGCGCCACCCCTCTTTTGCGTCTTCTTTGCGGCCGCTCTTTTGCAAAATGGACAATTCACGCTCACCAATTGGATATCTAAGATTCGACAAGATTTGATCAAGGGATGGTTGGGTGGGCTTGGGTTTTGGCCCTTTATCAACTACATTAGCTACGGATATGTCCCTCCAAAGTACATTCCTCTCTTTATCAATGTCATGGGCTTGATATTCAACATCTATGTCAGCCTGATTGCTAACTTGAAGCAAGACAAGCCAAAGACGAGCTAAAGGCATTATCTTGCATTGGAGGAGCTATGCATAGCTTCGGTAGCTGGGGATACAAACAATAAAATACGACCAACTTATGGTGTAAAGGCACGGTACATCGTGATGATGTATCTGCTTTGACAGTGTAGAAGAATTCATTTCTGAGCGGGTATCAATCAATCAATCAATCAATCCCATGTTAACAGTAACAAAACGTGTAGTTGGATTGTGAATTTTTGACAATGTTGCTACAGTACTGTGTAGTAGGTTTGGGTGGATCATTCCTCTCCTGCTGCTTGTGCTGTATTAGTACCCTCTGGTGGCGCTGCTGGTTCACTTTCAATAACAATAGTGACGGGTCCATCATTGATGAGCTCCACGTCCATCATGGCTCCAAAGACACCATCGGCAATCTTGTCGGCTTGGTAGTTTTCTCGCAACATGTTCAAAAATGTATTGTATAGTTCTTGTGCCGGCACGGCTTTCATGGCTCTCTTGTAGTCGGGCTGGTTCTTTTTGGTGAGTGTCCCGTAGAGTGTGAATTGGCTGACACACAATACTTGGTATCCCTTTTGTTTGACACCTTGTCGCCACAGCGCGCCATTGTCATTTTCCCATAGCTTGCACCCCAATAATCGTTTACAGCAATAGTCCAAGTCAGCTTGAGCGTCATTTTCATGAATTCCTACCAATGCCATGATTCCATTGCCAATGGTGGATACCTTTTTCTCTTCGACCGTCACGGACGCAGACTTGACTCGTTGGACGACAATTCTCATGGCCAAAACTGGTACTGCTAGCGACAAGAAAGCAAATAGAAAGAGGGCATACAGCAGGGAAAAGCGCATGGACAATGTCTGCGATTGACTTCTCGGTGTCAACAACAATGGCCAAGGACTTGGAGAGAAGGCATGCAGATAAGATAGATATACCAGGGTAATCAACATAAGGCGCTCTGAGTGCAAGGTGCGTATATTGTTGGCATCATTTATTTTGAGTCATGAACGATCTGACCAAACAGGACTGCGCAAATGGCCAGAGCGAAACAAAACCCCGACCTTGTTTCTATGCATCTGTAACTGTATCTTTCTCTGAGTCTACTACCAGTAGGTACAGCAGTACTCATCTGCTCTATCCGGTGCCAAATGGCGGCCAGCAGCAGGAGTAGCAGTCCAACCAGTGGCAGTGGCAGAACCAAGAGAGAAGGCAAGGAAAAGCACAAGAAGAAACGCAAGAAGAAAAAGAAGACGATAACTCAATCGACCATCTTGGGAAGCCTACCCGTATGGATCCTCGTGGTATTGCTGGGCGGAATCGCCTTGTTCTTCAGTCTCAATGGGTACCTTGCAATGTCACTGATTGACAAAAGCAATAACAGTGATATCAATGATTCCGTGCCCTTTTTTCAACAAATGTGGACCAAGGGCAAGGGACGGCTCGAACAGCTTTCGATAAAAGACAAGAATTTGTTTGAAAATGTTACTAATAGTGGACGACAGCAGATGATTGGCCGAGACTGTGCTTCCTTTGGTTGTGCCATTACTCCACCCGACTACAAGGGCGACCAAATACAGCAGGCATTGCTCCAAATCAAAAATGACACTTCAGATATGCGTAGCATTATTGCTCCCTTTGCCTCGTGGGAAATGGCCACAATGACACGCAAGAGCAACCGCAAACATCCTCCCTTTAATCAAGATGCTGCTGCCATTATCAAACCCTTTCAAACGGCACAAACTACCTCGAAAGCGACAGGTTTCTTTGTGGGAATATTTGATGGACATGGAGAGGATGGACACATTGATGCCCAGTACTTTGTCAAGGATGTACCCAAAAGACTGGCGCAAAAGTTGGACTCCATGGCAGTCAACAGCAATAATAAGCAAGCCACCATTGTGCAACATCTAAAAGACACATTTGTGGAATCGGACGAGCTGGCACCCAAAAAGATGAAGCTGCGAGGTGGATGTACCGCTTCCGTCACGCTTCGAGTCGACAATACACTCTATTTTGCCAATGCGGGAGACAGTCGCACCATGCTGGTTGCCGTCAATGCTCGGGAATTTCAAATTGTCGAGGCAGGGCCAGCTCCTGGAGTGTCGCAGCTATACATTACCCGTGCGGATAAACCACACTTGCCAGATGAATTGGCACGCATCAAGGCGGCAGGAGGGACTGTCCACATACCACCACCCAATCCAAACTTGTCGCGTGTCATTGTACACAGCGATGAATTCAATGATACCATTGGACTCGCCATGAGCCGCAGTTTGGGCGATTATGAATGGACACTCAAGGGGGTCACCCCCGAGCCTCTAGTGGATGTCATTTCATTGGACGACTTCCACAATAGTACGCAGGATCCCATGACGTCCATATTCCTCGTTGCGGCCAGTGATGGACTCTGGGATTATCGCTTGAAGCAATGGTATGCCAAGCAATTCGCAGAGAGCTTTCTCAATGGAAAAGACGACAAACGAAGAATTCATCCCTTGCAAAAGATGCAGGACATTATTGAGTTTGTGTCGCCAAACAGGGAGGATTGGTACAGGGATGACATTACGGTTGTGACCTTGCGAATCATGTAAGGAAGGGATACATGATATGGTAAAAGTTCATTTCAGGCTCATTTTGCTTGGGAAAAGAAGTATGGGTGTGAGCTATACCTGGAGCAGGATAGAGCAACAATCAACATAATATCTTTCAATCATCCCACGGGATGATTCTAGGTACAAGAATGATTCAATCGTTCGAAAAGCTCGATCCAGCGGTGAGCCAACTAAGTCCTACACTGCTCTGGTTCCTCAACACTAGCTCCGCCCCATCAACATGCTCCCTCCTTATGTTAGCTTCAAGAACGGGGGGCTCCTCCCTGTATAAAGTCATCAAAACCTTGGTCCATTGGGCTCAACAAAAGAACAGGGGTTCGGTCGATCCAAATCAGCTGGCTTTACAGCCAAATACAGCCGGCTATTCACAACCAGCTAAAGCAACCATAGAGTACCCCACCCAGTTCTTCCTGCTCTTTATGGCGATAGGCATAACATGGTGAGTAGTGATGTTTATGCTAGCATGTTGGGCTTCTTAGTACGAACCGGTAGTGTCTGAAGGTTGACCGGTGTATGGTCAAGGTTTGTTAACCTTGACCATACCGACTTTAGAGCGTGTCACGAAACGCGGATGGTTCGTAACGGCGTTTCCGGACGAAAAACACGATGGAACTCGCAGCCGAACAATACAGCTACGGGTACGAAGCTCGCATTAATCATCATCATCTTAAAACAAAAATTGACCAGACTACTTTGATCTTTACAACGAACAACGGCACTAACAGACTATTACATCAAATTCACAAGGCTTCGACGGTGGATAGCAGCAACAGCATCTTTTCATCGCGATTTGGCCAAACGGGGACAGGGTCGACAGGAATGACGCCAACACTCGAAGAGCAGCAGGAGGGCCTGCCAGAGGAAATAAAGAGCAAGACTTATCCATCCAGTGACTTGATCACGGCGGAAGACGAACTCGTGAACGACTTGGAGAAGTACTTTCTTTTGGATTCCGATACGATGATCGTAGTCAACGACGAGGGAAAAGCGGTCTGGGAGATGCCGACCGTGTTTCATCAAGACGCACTTCAGAAACTCCTCAAGATTGTCAATAAGAGCAGTGAAGAGGAGGATTTCCTTCTTGCTCAGGCAGGCATTCCTCTTCTCATGAACAAGGAGAAGGCCAAGTACCGGCACCCTGAATCTCCATCTGGGGCGCAGGTCGCCTGGAAGCAGAGGGCGAGGATGGAGATTTCGATCGACGATACATTTCGATTGATGGATTTCCCGGGGATAATTCGATGAATCCGGATGCCATCATCGAATTCAGTTGGACGAACCAACTTGAAACAGAAACTTGGATGCTCCAGCAGCAAATTACCAATCACATCCAGGCTCTGGGGGTTGTCAAGCTTGGATTCCTCATCAAAGCCAAGCCCGCAGAAGGGACAAGCTTTCCGACAGTCCTTGATCACAGCGTGCCCCTCTGTGGTTTTGATGTCTACCGTTTTCGTACCGGCGAAGCAGCGACCACGATGGCTCTTCCTGACCCATTTCTTGAGTACCGTGATGGCACTGAAAAAGCAAAGACGATGGCGATTGAAATCAGTGGCATGGATCTCGGTCGCAATAACCCAGAACACGGGGTACATATTCCTCTTTCGCCGCTCGTGTGAGATTTCAGGCTTGGTGT